CCTCCTTTCTGTCTCAGGTTCTGCACGGCTGTGTGTACGGGGCCCAGTCCTTCAGCAGCCCCCGGTATTTCCCCCTGCAGCTGTCGGACCTCCTGAGCCCGGACTACGACCCCTTCCTGCCCCTGGAGAGCCTGAGGGAGCCGGAGCCTCTGCACAGCCCCGACTCCGAGCGCTCCAGCAAGCTGCAGCCCGTCACCGAAGGTAACGCACCCACCGATCTGTTCTCCGCTAGGGTTGTCACCAGTGTTGGGTAAGTTATTTTAAAAATGTAGTCCGTTACAGTTACAAGTTACCTTGTTTAAAATGCAATTGTAGTGTAACTTTTTCGATTACTTTTAAAAAGTAATGTAACTAATTACTTTTGATTAGTTTAAGGTTTTAATGAGTATTAACCCATGATTAATTTTAGCATGTTATTATCAGCTATTGGCCGCAGCTAGCAGTTCAAGGCTAACGTCTTGTTAATGATCATAAACAGCGTAAATAAATACATAAATAAATCGGAGACAAGTCAGTCGTATCCGGATACAACATTTTAGTATCCATACTTTTTTAAGTATCGATACTTTTGACAACCCTAGTCTGAAATGTAGGACATGTCCGGGAAAAAGAGGAGTTGGGTAGGCTAGGCTAGGTAGTCTAGGCTAGGCTAGGCTAGGTTAGGCTAGGTCATAGACATCGATAAACGTTTGTCATGCATCAACACCAAACAGTCAAATATTAGTAAATCAATCTGCTTCGTCTATCAGTGAGTTGCATATTTTGCAAAGGTTTTTCTTTATATTTTAAAAAAGATGTAACTAAATTTGTAATTCTTAATATTTTCGGAAGTAACTTTAACTCAATTACATATTTTCTCATTGTAACTGTAACGAATTACAGTTACTCTTGTTTTGTAATTAAATTACGTAACGTCGTTACATGTAATCCGTTACTCCCCAACACTGGTTGTCACGATACTAAAATTTTCAACTCGATACCGATACTCAGGAAAATACTCTATACTCGATACTATTTTCGATACCACAAGGATAAAAACAAAGACCCTAAAGTTTAACTGAATTGTGTCTTTCATTTCAAACTGACCTGTTACTGATGTTATGGTGACTGGTGGCCCACATTAATGACCCTAATCCTAACCCTAACCCTAACCCTGACCCTAAACCTAACCCTAACCCTAAACCTGACCCTGACCCTGACCCTGACTCTAACCCTAAACCTAACCCTGACCCTAACCCTGACCCTATCCCTCCAGCCTTCATAATAGTGAGAAATAAATATTTTTTGGTTAAACTTGTTTGGACTTATTGTACAAACCTATTTAACATCCACTATTTTAACATAATATTATGGATAGAGTTTAATTCAGTGTTTGCTAGATTACTTTCACTATTTTTAAATTAATGTCTATATTGCCATGAAACAATTAGGATTTTCTTGCCTGGGATCTTTCTATTTGTGACATAATCAAAACATCCGATTTGGATGTGGGCGGAGTTGGATATGTACTTGATTAAGGGTAGCATGTTATTATTAGCCATTAGCCGCAGCTAGCAAGGCTAACGTCTTGTTAATGAACAGAAACAACGTAAATAAATACATAAATAAATCAGAGAGAAGGCTCGCGCGGTGGTATCCATACTTTTGAAAATGAGTATCGTATCCGGATACAACATTTTAGTATCGATACTTTTTTGAGTATCGATACTTTTGACAACCCTATTCTCCGCACATGCAAAATGAATGCATCGACTCAGATGAATGCACAACGTGACCCAGAAGGGAGCGGTGTGTCTGTATGTGGACCCGTCTGCATCCGTGGAGGAGTCTGAATCGCCCCCTGCTGTGGTCCACCAGGACTAGTGACAGTCTAATGACTGGAGGACCCTCATAGACCATGCCTCCTTTTTTTATCTGCTCTCTTTTCTTCTCTTTTCTTCCTTGTCCTCTCTTTCCTTCTCTTCTCTTTCCTTCTTTTCTTTTCTATTGTCATCTCTTTCCTTCTCTTCTCTTCTCTTCTCGTTGTCCTCTTTTTCCTTCTCTTTCCTTCTCTTCCTTGTCCTCTCCTCTCTTACCTTCTCTTCTCTTCCTTGTCATCTCTTTCCTTCTCTTCTCTTCCTTGTCCTCTCTTTCCTTCTCTTCTCTTCTCTTCTTTTCCTTGTCTTCTCTTTCTTTCTCTTCTCTTCTCTTCCCTTCCTTGTCCTCTCTTTCCTTCTCTTCACTTTCCTTCTTTTCTCTTCTCTTCCTTGTCCTTTCTTTCCTTCTCTTCTCTTCCTTGTCCTCTATTTCCTTCTCATCTATAACTTTTAACTTATGTTTTCTTTGCCTTCTCTTTTTTGTTTTAGAACGTTTTATTTAATCATTTTAGTAATTTTACATAGCAATCTTCTGACAAAAACTCAAGTAGTAAACATCAGGAAAAAAAACAACCAAAAAATCTTCACCATTATGACAGCAGGCAGAGCAGACGACATCCACAATCTGTAATCTGTGACCAAACAGGACCCCTCCCCATAGAGGAATTCCACTCTCATTCCATCGTCCTCTCCATCAGACACCAGAATAGTCTGAAATACAAGTCCATCTTTGTACAAAAGTGTCCATAGTTCATTCTCTCCATCGTGTAAACACGTCTCAGTCTCTGGACCCATTCACTTATAGTTGGTGGTTTTACATCTCTCCAGTGCATGGTATTAATTTTCTTTGCTACCAGTAAAATAACTCTCAGTATAAATCTCCGAGATATCTCTGTTTTTAGGCATGGCTCCCTTGCCTTCTCTTTTATTTTATCTGTTCCCTCCTCCTCCTGAGCCCCCCCCCTGTGGTTTAGGTTCAGGGGAGTCAGTGAGAATGTTGTTCAATACATGTTTGTACTCGCCACACAACCTGTCAATGAGGAGTTGTTGGAAAGAGTGCGCATGCCTCCTCGTGCGTCCTGATGTTGATTAACCAGAAGCGGCTGGCAGCACAGCGTGTGATGGCATCGGCTTCTTCTCAGCACGCCGCTCCAGCCGAAAGTGTTTGTGCTGTTTTAATTCTTTGAGTTTTGCTCCAACACTCAGACTTCTCAACCCAAACCCAAACAGCAGATTTGTTTTGTTCTGTTTAGCTTTGAAAGCAGAAGTCTTTTAACTCATTGGCTGCCAAAGACGTCTATAGAGGTCTTTTATGTTTTTCAACGAGAGTGGCTGGGGGACGATCTGCTA